TCACTTTTGAACTTATTGGCATTATTTTCAGGCCCATGTCTGGTGATATACTACGATATGTTTTTATCAAGGTTAAACGTATTCAAAAGCACTAAAGAGTGGGAGGCTAGGTTTCAGATTTTTATGATTCAAGGCAACAAAGTCCTGCATTATGAGGGTGAAATAAATTTTAAGATGAAATAGAAGAAAAATAAATAGAAAATTCACTGCACGAAGTCGTAGCACCAAAACGAACCTGCAAAAGAAATTTGTGGCTCTTGATATCTCAATAAAATTACTCATTAACCCGGACAAACTGTCATTCTTAATTTTACTTGTGCGACTGAACAGCCAAGAAAGTTCTATAGACAGGCCCTTCTTGAATATTGATCTGAGTGTATTCACCGAGATAAATGGATTTGTTTGATAACCAATTTCCTTGATGGCAACCGATCTGCGATTATGAAATACTCCGCCGCTCACCCACCTCACCGTAACAGCCGAACTGGCTCTTTCCTCTGATCAATATTACATAATTAAGAGAGCAGATATCGTTCCGCAGTCCGTTTTGCTGTAGTGCTGCGAGGCTTCCATACGTGGATCTCGAATTCTCTTTAATCTGACATCCAAAAATTCCAGAAATTGTCTGTTTCGATATTAAGGTTATACAGATTTATTGAGCAATTTTTGTTTCTGTGAAACTACTCCAATAAACGATGTGTCCTGTACAGAGGAGAAAAAATATAAAATAGGGTACGAAAAAAGATCCCAAGAAAAACGATTAATATCAACCTATCGTTGCATGTGTTGGGGATTTGTACGATATATCTTGAAAAGTAAAAAATATATGATAGGATTGTACTCCGTTCAAAAACTTCCATAAAAATTTCGTTTTGACACTCGAAGGCTTTGGTTTAAATTTTTGTTCTTTTACCTAAAATCTAAGAATAATTTGGGAAGAGATTTTCGCCCCGCAAGTAGCTTGTATGAAGTATATTTAGAACTCATTTAAAAATTCATAAGGATGCTTTGGAAATTAAATGTTTGTATTTATGACGTGTGTATTACAATTATTGGGATAAGACTTTCTGCACGCATTTAACCCCTAAGAGTGAAAACCAGTGTAGTGGAAAACTCCTACTGGTCTCCGACTGTGGAGAAATAGAGCCTTTTCATTTCAAGTTATTGTTTACGATAACAGAGAACTCATTAAAATGGAAATATTATGACTTTTACTGAAGAAGGCACCTCCATTTTTTTTTAAAAAAAGACAGCACATCGAACTGAAAATCAACTAAAATCATAAAGTTAATTCAATATCGCGTGATAGAAGAAGGAGAAAAAATCTCTAACTGAATGTATTTTTTATTTAAACATTATTTTTAGAAACCATTTGCCAACTACAAGCCGAAATAATGATCCAATTAACTAAATAGTGGTCAGGTGAAAATATCGTACACCTTTTTTGACGCTAAGATTAATTGCTTCAACATTTAGCCATCTACACGGTCCATTTGGCTAATCCCAATTAAAGCTCATTAAATATATTGAGCGTGAATGCAGTGTAGCATGCACGAGTGTGGAAGAATTGGAGGCCTACTTTTGGAAACCATTTGCCAACCATAAGAAAATAATGATTCAGTTTACTAAATAGTGGTCAGATCAAAATATTGTACATCTTTTTTGACGCTAGAAATGGCTTTAACATTTAGCCATCCAATACATTTGGCTAATCCCAATTAACGTTCATTAATTATATTCAGCATGAATGCAGTGTGGCACGCACGAGTGTGGAAGAATTGAAGGCTTAACAGCTTCAGGGTGCTCCATTGATAATAGAGAGTTTTAGATTTACGTTCGAACGTACGGCAAACGTGAAACGTCAGTTGACCAGTAAAAAATTCTTTTAAATTACTGAAAAAGAATCGCAAAAAAGTCCAAGTAGTAGAAAAACAAAAGAGTATTTGCGCTTGGTGAGAAGGTTTGTAAAAGGTAAAGTAAAATACAGGAAAACGATGAAAACGTGGTCACGTTTGCCGTTTGCGGGGAGAAAAAAAAGTCAATCTAAAACTCTCTATTATTTGTGGAACGCGTATAGTCGGCCTACGTGCCGTTCAAAATAATATATATGTATATTTTTTCTGATTTTGTTTTTTTAGCTTGCATTTGTGACTCGAATCATTGTAGACAGCTAAGAAGTCATGATCGTGTTTCCAAGATTATTTACGTCCCAATCCCAGCATGTTTAGCAAACACTGCCCGTTTATGTGATTTCTCGGAAAATTTCACTTAGCGTCAAGTGAAATGACGCACTTTGTGGTAAAACTCCTAGAGCTCAAAAATGTTAATATAAATTATTTAATTTGGGTAAAAAAGTAATCATTTTTAATACTAAATAATCGAGGGGGAGGGGGTGGTTAGAGTTAAAAAAACAATTTTTTATATTTTTGAATCTTTTCGTATTTAATATGTAGTTTTTATTATCATCAAGGGATAAAAAGAAATATCAGGATCAACTACTGGACTGCATTGTGAAAAAAAAAAAACCCTTAACGTTTGTTAATATGATAATGTAGCTTCGGAAAACGTTAAAGTGGCGTTTTCCTTTCGCGGTTGCATTTCTTCAAAAGAACTGACCATTAAGATGTAATAATAATGATAATATTAATAATCTTTATTGAGATAACTTTTTCATAATTATGATTTTCAAAAAGGACCATAAAGATATCCGGTGTGTCTGCGGGTTTTTTGTTATTGATTATTAGTATAGCTATTGTTTAGTAGATTTTAATGCTTAGAGATTTAGAAATATGCAATGCTACTAAGGGAAGCCGGTGTTTCTTTCTGATTTTGAATAAGGTTTGTGGAAAAGGCTGGAAAAGTGATATTCACAAAGTTGCTGTCTTGAAGGGTGATGCCTGTAGAGAGTTGAGAGGTTGAGGTCATCCCTTGATGAAAACAGTTAAATATTTATAGACAAAAATGCTCCACGTATTAAAAGATTCCTAGATCTTCCTTTGTGCGCATGCTGTAATCAATCTCTCCCTTTTTGTAACCCATAGCCCAACCAATGGTATGGCGTTAAGTATTATGAGAAGTGGATGTGATTTGTTGGAAGATGTAGGTTACTCTGAAGCGGACCTAGTTTCGAGACACCACTATTTGCTATGGGTACATCAGTCGCAGGCTGCGATTTTATCCAATTCTAGAATTACATTATATTTTTTTATCTTTTATCTTGAGTGCAATCCTCGATGACATGAAAGTAATGATATTGTAAATATAATGTATCCGTAAAAATAAAATAAAGGAAAATGAATAACTTATCTGATGAAGCGTACGACATAAAAATAAAACATACATAAAAAATAGAACAAAAAAAAAAAGAAAAGATAAAACACAAAGCAAAAAATAATAGTTACGTAGTTCAACGTTAAAGTGAGCTCAAATTTCCTTTTACTGCTTAATGGTGGTAACAGCTTTCCAAATGAGTTTCACTTGCAAACCTGTCAACAACAGCAACAATGACAAAAAAAAAAAAGAAAAAAAAAGAAAAGAAAAGAAAAGAAAAGAAAAAACGTCATAAACATCTCAAGGAAATTATTCACGGCTAAAAATAAACCTGATTTTTTAAACTTTCCACCGATTTATAAACGAGGTTTGTTGTCGTGAATAATAAATATTGACGTACACGATGACGTCAAAAGGGTCCGGCAGTCTGCGTGTGTGGTAGTGACGCGACACGTTAAAAATTTAAACCACGTTCCTATCATTTTAAAAGTAGTTTTGAGTTTTTTTGGGAAGGAATGAAATTAAATAATAAATATAATTCTTTTAGATGATGTCATATTTTGTGTTTTGATTTGATTGATCATGGATTTCCTCTTTTTCTGTCATTTTGATCAATTGTGGTTTGGTTAGTTAATTGCGTGACAGCTGCTTGCTTTCTTGTATGATTTGGTGGAAGCATTTTGTTGGGTTTTCTTTATATATATATAAATATTTATTCATATAAAGAAAGCGCTGTATACTTTTCAAAAATTCTGCAACTAAAATGAATATCCATATATCGATATTTCGGGTGTATTATGGATAAGTTAAGATAAGTTTAAAATCTTTTTAATAAAGGTTTAATACAATGTTTTTGGTAAAGTATAATCATAGTGTACAGTGGCTCGCTATATTTAAAGAGTTTGGAAATATGAGAGTTTTTTCTCCTTCAGCTTTGTCAAATACCGTTTCAAAATGAAGCTAATACTTACAATCGTATAAAATTGTTTCAGTTTGTCGTCCGATGCGTTTTACGCTGGTGAATACTCGCTTCCTCGTACACTGAATTTACACAATGGCTGGCAACTAGCGGCCGCCAGGACTCCAATATTAATACTCCAAAAATTTTACAGTGCAAGGAAATTGTTTGTCAGTCGAGAGATCATTGAGAGAGAAGGTCAAAATATAAGGAGTAATTAAAACGCGCATTATATATATGCACGAGCGGGACGTAAGGGGAGCACAGGAAACCCAATGTCTGAAAAAGTGCAAGTGAGATTCCGTTTGCCATGCGACAGGTTGATTATATTACACTGATTACTTTTACAATATTTTTTATATTGTTTTGTATAAATTCACAAATGATTCCACTATATTTTTACTTCTGTTTGCAGGCATCTTTTCTAAAGTAAATAAGAAGAAGCGTAAGGAAAATAAAAATATAAATAGGTGACAATAAGCTTGAACTTTGAAAGGTGACAATCATGTTTTAAATGATTATCACTATAAAAGATTATTTGCAAATTATAAGTATATTGAGTTATCTTGATTATTCGTCACGTATTTATTTGCAATTTTACTTCCGACTTGGCTTTTGATTTCTTAAATAATAACAAATGTTTTTTGAAGACTCATTTATAATATTGGTCAAACAAAGAAAGATTTGCATAAGAATGTGTTCGTTCGCCCTTAACCGACCTGTAACTTAATGAATTTTCTCTCAAGACCCAAAAGCATCTTATCGTCGCGTGTTCTAAAACGAGAAACTTCATTGGCTTGAGAAGACAAACACTTACGCTCCGATATGGATGCTTGAATATCTTTTTCAAATCTTCACCGTTTGTTGCTAAAACTTTCTGAAGAAACTTTTCTAAAGTTTCTGTAAACAACGTCTCAAGTCAAACTGAGCTTTCGTTGATGATAAAAGAATAGAGTAACAGGCAAGTGCTTGATCTATGGTGGTATTATTTCTATAATTTCGTAACTTATATTCACAGAATATGTGTTTTAGAGTGTGAAGAAGACGCGAGCCACATCTTGCGAAATAATTGAACTTAATTTTCCTACATAATTTTTTGCATTCAGTTTCACACAAGTTTTTAATTTGTCACAACATGTTTAGCATTCCGTTAATCTTGTATTATTGTTTGATTTGTATTCCATGAAGATTATATTGATGAATATCGTCGATATAGCTCACTTAATATATTTTCCCTGGGTCAAATTGAAATTCCATCATATAAAAGATCAACAAAGTTTATATACTCGAAATGTTCTGAATTATTCTATGCAGGTTTTAAAAAAATCAAAATATTCTACATAACTAAGTGCTCTTTCGATTTTTTTGCTCAAAAACGTTGAATTACTCGAACTGTGTTCTGCATTCTAGTTACAGGAGGGAACAAAATGCATATTTATCAAGCAAAGGACCATAGCTGACCATTATTATTCATAATCCTAGGATATGGACCGGGTTAGACACATACAAGGTAAGGCTAATTATCTCGAAATTATGTTCGTATTAGTACTTTCTAATTTTCTGTCTTTATATTAGATTATTTAGTATATTATTACAAAAATATGATCAATCAATACACTTCATTATTTGACACAAGATATTCATATATAAAACAAACGTTTAAAATAGTGTTTCCTCACTTCTTCAACTATCTTAATGATCATCACTATTATCAACTATGACATGAACACTTTATAATTACGATAGCCTATATATTAGTGACATTCTTTGGATATAGTTGTGGTGTTTAGACTACGGATTAGGCATCGCAGATGTTTTCTTGTGTGAGGTATGTTCAGTCATTTTGACAACCAATATAGTTATGTCAGGTGAATCATGTAGGCGAGTAAAGGCATGAAATCGGTGAGGTGCATCACTCAACTCAAACTCGTTTGTCTCTCAATGCCGAACATTTAATCCATAAGATACATAGAACTTCTGCAGAGGAATTCATTTCCGATTACAGATAAAATTCGAACAAAACGAAATTCCGTAAACAAAGTGGAATTTTTAAATTTTGTATATATTTAAAAAAAAAATGGATGCCAGTTGGAAAATATTCTCGTTAACTATTCACGCTGTTTTTAATATGAGTTGCTTTGGGCTTTGACGGCTTTGTCATGCTGAACGAATTATTTGTTGTTAATCTGTGGCTTTTATCTAGCGAAATTATTGTGGTAGTAAACAAATTCAAAGTGACCTTAAGAAATTAGCTTGAATCAATTGGCGTTTTATGCATAAGGAGTTAGTTGCACATTATGACCAGGAAGTGGTTGCTCCTCTTTCTGTACTTTCTCGATACTCTGAATTTTAATTCAGCCCTGAAGCAACCTCTGGGTTGATCGGAGCCGTATGTAGCTCACTCACAGATCGAACCCACAAAACAACCGGCTCTGGACCGATCAAGGTCGTCATACCCAAGCTCTCCCGGCTATTGTCATTTCCAACGTATTCTAGAACAGGGCTTGGGTCGTTAAGGACGCTGTAACCAGTTGGCGCCTGAATGTTGTCATCCTTATGTGTACAAAAGCACCTGCTCGATTCACAGTAAACTCTGTTGGTTTTGATTTACATACCTGCATGAAATACCTTCTTGAGAAAAGATGTGTCGAGGGAAGTACGTCTGTCAATGGACTGGGCAGATGATGGAAAGGTTGAACGGATTAAACGGGATACCTTCTTCGAGAAGATAAGAAGACGCCATCTTGTAGATTTCTACGTTCTTTCATCAAACGCGAGAATGCAGTTGAAAAGTATGAAAAGTAATGAATTTTAAGTAATTTGTGGTTTTACGATTACCATTCGGAGAATGTTTTGGTAATTTTAATACTCTGCATTTGGAATTTTACAACGTACAAATTTGAAGGAATCTCTTTCTGCTCAAGTTGGATTTGCCTCACCAGAAAAGCATAATGAGAGATTGATGTTGTGCTGTATTCATAAATGTTCTAGTAAATTTACCTGAATTTTTTAACTGTATCTCTTATTACGATTTACTGCTATTTTCAAAAACATGCGAACTCTGTGTCTGCGAGCTGCACGCTGAATTTTGGTTTTTCGCTGCCGTCAATCAAACCTAATCAGTCGGTACCTTTCATATTTTTTGACTGGCGGCAACGAAAAAACAAATTTCAGAGTGCAGCAAGCAGCTATCGAGTTCGCGTGTTTATGAATTGTGTACTGCTGGTTGCATTGATTAAACCATAATGAAGCCATTAAATGGTGCTATGTTATGATTTTTTCCATATTTCAGGACAATCTTATGGGCAAAGAAGACCTTCCTTAACTGCTGTCCTACGTCGTATCTTAGAGGGATATCCTGATGGAGGGCAAATATTGAAGGTACGATAGAATGACTTATTACTAGAAATGTAGTTTGTGTTGCGCATGGCGGCTTCTTCGATTTTTTTTTTTTTTTTTTTGTGAGTAGAGAAGTCAAAACATTTGGTGCAGAATATAACTGATTGTCTATCCCCAAAGTAAACGGTTGTAAGACTCTATGCACTACTAGAGTATGTTTACAAGTATATTTTGTAACACGATAACACGAACTGCAACCTCTTCGTTTCGATCTGTTTTCCCCCGAGAAGACTGCTGAAGAGGCTGTACCACTGTTTTGATATTTTATCCATCCATCCATCCATCCATTCATTCATCCATCCATCCATCCATCCATCCATCCATCTATCTATAAATACATCCGGCCATACTCCCACCAATCCACTCATGCATCTTATTATCTATCCATCCATTCAGCTATATTCATCCATTCATGATTGTAAGCTGTACAGCTGCTACTAGCGCCTTATTACGCAGCCCGTAAAGTCCTCCACTGGTCATTAATGTAAAGCGCATTGAGACGTTGTATAAATGCGCTATACAAGAACCTCCCTTTATTATTATTATCCTCCCACCCAACCACCAATCCATCTTACTCCTACCAACCCATCTATGCATCCATGCATGAATGAATATACATGCATCCATCCATCCAGCTACCCATCCATCTATCCATTTGTATTTCTCATTCATTTATTTATTTTCAAAGGAACTTATTCAAAATGCCGATGATGCCGGTGCAACAGAGGTCAAATTCCTCTTCGATTCACGTGACAATGCTTTCGGCAGTACCTCGTTGATTCATCCCGAATTGTCCAAGTTCCAAGGTCCCGCTTTGTACGTCTACAACAATGGACTTTTTAAGGAAAGAGACTGGCATGGAATTGAGGGTATCATGCAGGGAAACAAGCGACTTGATCCACTGTCTGCCGGGAGGTTTGGTGTAGGATTCAACTCTGTTTATCACATCACAGGTAAGAAAAGAAATTCAAGGCCATCCTTTATTTCCCTTTGACTCCATTTACAATTATTGGATGAGGTTCTGATGATATCTGGAATTATAAATGTCGACGTAAGTGTTATTGGACGAAACCGCAGGCTAAGGCCAATACCTTTTGCCCAGACATTGATAATTCCGGAGATCATCAAAATCCAATAATTCAGTAAATGTTTTATTATACATTATTCAAATAGAGTAACTGGTAATACGAAGATAGAAACTTTATAATAAACTTGCTTTTTAAAGAAAAGTATCAAATAATACAACCCCCACCCCCCTCTCCCCCCCCCCAAAAAAAACCCTACGGATAACCGCCATCCTCTGACGTATGCAGGCTCGTTTTTGCAGATAACTGCCTACAGACAACTATATATCTACCGCTGAAAAATCGCTGGTGCATGCTGATAGCTAAAATTATATGTGGGTTCTCGACCAATGAGAATTCACATAGTGAGTACGATGCATAGTAATCTTAATGATTTGCCATTTTTTGTTTGATAGATTTACCAAGCGTCGTCAGTGATCATTTTATTGCTTTCCTTGACCCGCAAGAGACGTTTTTTGGTGCTGGAGAAACAGGCCGACGTTTTGATCTCAGAGACTCTCTTCTTGAGCGGTACTCTGACCAGTTTGCGCCATACGAGGATGTCCTTGGCTGCAAAATCTCATCAGGAATTTTGAACGGCACTCTTTTTCGTTTTCCTTTGAGAAAATGGCCATCTAGAGTTTCTGTGAAACCATACTCTGGCAATAAAGTCAAAGCACTGTTTGAGTCCCTGATTGAAGAAGCTCCAATTCTTTTATTGTTCCTAAAGAATGTCGAGACAATTCGCTTTTGCGAGACTACAAGAACTGAACAAGAAAGAGAGACTTTTTCAATTACCATCAAGGACAGCCTCAAGGCATCCATAAGATCAATGAGGAAAAGGTTCATCCAAGTTGCCTTAGAACGCACTAATGAGCCTTATGAAATGACTTACGAAATGGTTTTGGAGGAATGGAAAAATGGGAAATTTGAAACGGAGCATAAATATATGGTTCTGAACAGAGTTGGTAGTGACGATAAGAAGCTCCTAGAAATATCTGCCCAGTTACACCTTCTTCCATGGGCAGGAGTTGCAGCATCATTGAATCAAACGAAAGTCACAACAGGGAGAGTGTTTTCGTTTCTTCCTCTTCCTCCTGAATCTGATTGTCGCACAGGCCTTTCGGTGCATATTCACGGTACATTTGGAGTCACGGATAACCGGCGCAACCTCAAGTGGGCTGGGGCAGAGTGTCAAAATGATGACACAGCTTTCTGGAACAATTATCTTCTCACTGATGTCATAAGCAAGGCGTATGCGCATCTTATCATTAAACTAACCCAGTCGCAGTACCCTGCTTACGAGATCCTTCCCGTGGTAAGCTCAATTTTACCGGATTTAGATCGTATTCAAGGCCACTGGAAGCTTCTTTTAGAACCTTTCTTCAATGAGTTAGCAGACAAGCCTGTCTTTTGGACCGAAGCGGAAGGTGGCAAGTGGATTGCGCTAAAAGATGCGGTACTAAATAGGTTACCTCGTACCTCGGCCAAGACCAGACCTGAAGTCCGTGCAGCTGCGGTAAAATGTCTCATACAAGCAAATCAGCCTGTTGTATCTTTACCAGGTAAGTATTACGTCATTATCAATAAAACCACAGGCAACCCAAACATTTATATTCTATTTGAGAGATTTTGAGTTTGGTGTCATTTGAGAACGATATGAGAGTCCAAAGCTAGAAAGTAAGAACAAGTGAATTTGTTTCCTTTTTTCTTCGTAAAAGAATGGTTCAGTAGTGATTTTGAAAATTGAGATCATGCAATGTTTTTTCTTTTCTTTTCTTTCTTTCTTTTTTTTTTTTTTTTTTNTTTTTTTTTTTTTTTTTTTTTTGTTGGCTGTTTTTAGCTCAAACCGAATATACATTACTGATTTTTATTTGGCAGTTCTTTGGCAGTAATGTACTTGATTAATGAACTCTTGTATGAAGCAAATATTTTGCTTAACGTAAATTCTAATTTCCTCCGTTTACAAATAATGACCAAACAGTGATAGTGGGGGCTGGGGTGAGTAGAAAAGTATTCAATTTTTCTGAATGGGCTTCCTTTGTAATTTGATAAATATCTTTTTATTTTCTAAAAGAAATAACAGATCAATTTTTTTACTGTACTCTTTTTGTCAGCAAATAAAAAAAGCTAAATTATAAGTGATAAACAGGAAGACGGTTTTATAAGTGATTATGTAAATTAATGATTATTATTATGTTACAAAGAAAAAAATTTTCTTAGCATCACTCAAAGCTATGTACAACAGAAACAAATAGCAAAAAATTAAGGAAAAATAAGGAAAAGAAATGTAAGAAAGATCAAGAAAAAGAAAAAAAGTAATTGAAGTGAAAAAAAGAGACTCCCTCTCCCCGGCGGGGAATCGAACCCCGGTCTCCCGCGTGACAGGCGGGGATACTCACCACTATACTATCGAGGAAGTGCTTAAATAATTGGTTCTAAATAATGATATAATCACTTAAACCGATAAAAGACCCGATAAAAGACTTTAAGAATAACATAAAAACTGTATAAAACATGTGTGACAGGTTTATATTTTCAAATAATTTGAAGTCTTGATGTTTCGCATATTGTTCCAGCTACCAGCAAATTTTTCGGATGTGCGTCTCATTGAAAAGCGTAAAGTTATATAAAAAGACCCTCTGACAGCTGTGCAGTCTATAAGTTTTCCAATAATTGTCACTTAATGTCTTAATACAAGATAGCCACCTTATCGGTACAAAAGTCTGCAGTAGCAACAAAGGTAGTTTCTTATCAATTATAGCGAAAATTTTAAAAAATGTAATTTTTTTTCTCTCTAGAACATGCCCTCCAAGCTGTCGATGATTACCTGGTTGCACACGTTCAATCGGTTCAAGAAATTACCCCAGCGTATGTTCGTCGTGTCCTTAAGCAAACTAAAAACCATGTACCAAACGGCGGAAATCAATTTATAAACAAGAGAAGAATGGACTGGACTTCGATCGACAGAAACGAAAGAATACAGATTCTAGAATTCGTAATGAAAGATGGAGACCTGCAAGATTTAGAGGGACTTCCTTTGCTTCCACTTGCGAACAAAACATTCACAGAATTTTGTTCAATGACCTTCGATTCCAACCCAGAGAAAGCGGTCTTTGTACCTTCAAGGACAAATCCCCCCACCCTAATACCAGGGGCTGGGCACAGGTTTCTTGACTCCGACGTGAACGAAGCGGTCCTGACCGTACTCAAGTCTGTGACTTTAGATGCGGAGAAGCAAAATACTAGCGTGATTGCACCAACACAACTGGTATTTTTTGCCCCGTTTTTGGTGCCCGGTCTTCTGAAAGACGCTCTGCCTGATGAATGGCGTGGTGACTCGGTTATTGTCCCCTGGGATCCAAAAGACGAACAAGCAGGGGAGGTGTGGTTGAAAGGTCTTTGGTCGTGGCTCCGCACAGAATTTTCAAACGATCTCAGTCAATTTGAAGGCGTGCCTCTTGTTCCATTAACTTCTAAACGAATTGAAGCGAAACACCTTATTAAGTTGAAGAACAATCATTCGGTGATCCAGGGATCGTCCCACTTTGCGGCTCTACCAAGAAATGTTGTTGGTGCTCTTCAACGCACAGGCTGTGTCGTGTTGTCTCATATTCCAATGTTTTGTGACCACTTGGATTTAAGAAGGCATTTGGAGCCACCCACTCAGTCTGGGGTGTTAAAGGTAAGAAGAGACATGTCTAAATAGACCCTTTGCAGTAAACGGTCACGTGTCTGTACTGGTGAGCAAAATTTTTTATTATATTTTAAATTGGTTTTTAGCTACTTTTAAAGAACTGAATGAAACGATGTCTAACACCAGTGTGTTACGAAATGCAGTTTTATTACGATCTCTCGAAACAGGTTGTAGAAAGTTTGTTTGCTCACCAGTATATTTCACCCATGGGAGTCAAGATGTTCATTCATTTGCTCAGTGAATTAATCAACTGAACACGTGATTACGGAGCTGCAAAGGGCCTATTAGACTGCAGATTTCGTAGGACTCTGGAACAACACGGGCACGGTACAGAGGCAAAGACTTTCTTTAATCACACGAGATCAATATTTATTATTTCTAATCAAATTGCCCGGGCATGGCACCCTCGATGTCTTCACAGGTCTGACTTATATTAACCATTTTTTCTTATGCTGGTATGCATATTTTAAATTAATTCTCGAGCATTCAATTCTTGCAATTAGGAATGGAAACTTAAAGAGTCTTATAGAATACAAATTATTGATCATTTGTCTCTAGCTGAAAGGAACTAATCTGGATCCCGGCTGCCGGGATGCTCTAACCCCTGAGCTTCAAGAAAGACTCTTGAGAAGCAGCCATTTACTAGCTTGATTCTTGTTATTCAACAGGTGCTGTCTACCGTGATCGAGGAAGATGGTGGCGTCCCTCTTTCCGTGTTATCCCTAGACGAGAAACGAGCGTTACGTGCGTTTCTGTCGAGCCTAAGAAACCCTTCGGATGATGAGATTGTCACTCTAATGTCATTACCGATTTTTGAAACTGTCAGTGGAAATGTGACTTCTCTACAGCCTGAAGAAACTCTGGCTGGGAGAAAGCTTGACGTCGCTCCTCCGCGACTCAGCCTGCCAGGTGTGTCTTTAATTTTAAGAATTAAAAAATTAGCCCAAACAATGTTCTTTAGTTTCTCTACAGCTCAGGTCAGACTTCGAACTTCACATGGGTCGAATCTAATTGAAACAATGAATAACAAGGCGGTTTTCTTTGATGTCATTAGGTTCGGCTCGTGTGAAGTTCGACGTTTGACATGAGCCTTATTCTTTTTACGTTTATTTTTACCCTTTCTTTAGCACTATGTGGCAAACTTTCACTGCCTTTGATCCTTGAAATTCGAGTCCTCTCTTTTCATTACTCTGTTTATTTCCCTTACAAGTAGATTATAATAACAGATACGTTTTTTCCTCAGGTGACATTCTGATACCAGAATCTGACCAGATAATATCCGCCGCTGACGAAGATTCGTATCAGTTACTTCGGCGGCTGCCGGTCCGAATCCTCAACATGTCGAATTTTTTGATTGAAAAGGTAGTAAAGTATTCTTTTTTTTTTTTTCAAAACAAATGGTGCATTTTGTTTCTTTTCCCCTGTCCTGTCCATTTATCAATCCGTCCACCCTTCTTTTAGTCGTTCCTTCCCTTCTTTTGCACTACCTTTTCTATTTTGTTATGTTTCTGTTATTCTCTTTTCTTACCTCTTTCTTTTTTGCTGCAGGTTTTCCCATTCATAGAGAAGCAAACATTCTACACCAGAAGTCAAGTTACTGAATTAATGACATGGGTGTTAAACAGACTTCCGGTACTTTCAAGTGAAAACCGATCCTTCCCAGAGCATCTCAAGACCCTCAAGTTCGTCCCTGTCGCAAACAACAAGTTCAAAGCCCCTTTTGAACTTTTTGATCCAGCAGATGAAATCTTGAAACACCTGTTCGATGGAGAGCCATCAGCATTTCCTTGTGAAGAATTCTCTACCTCACACACACTAAGCCTTCTTCGAGTTTTCCTTGGACTTAGAAGAAGTCGGTCGCTCGATGGCCAAGACGCTCTTACCATCGCGAAGCAAATATCAGATATGTCTGAAGAAAAGGCGTCAAAAAGAGCAGCTGCTCTTCTTAATTTTCTAAACGAAAACTTTTATCTGATGGATACTGAGGTAGTTGTAGACGAGGAATCTGATCTGAAGTTGACTCTAAAACAAGCACTCTGCCGGTTTCAATGGCTACCTGTTTCTAAGGATCCCCCTGGAAAGTATCCTTCGACAATGTCTTGGTTCAGGAGCTCGCAGTTCCTTTACAGCCCCAGTGAAATGCGTGATATGGAAGGAGCATTCTTGGTAGGCTCAGCGATGCCTATTGTACATGTACCTGTAAACAAAAAGCTTAAAAAGGCTTTTGGATGGGAAAATCCACCACCTTTAATGCCTGTGTTGGAGCAGTTGAAAACGGCCGTGAAACAATGGAAAGGTCAGGATAAGAAACCTCACGAGGTTGAGTCACTCAAGTTCCAAACCATGCTACGTGAAATTTACGATTACCTTTCTTCCCAGAACACTCTTACAGAAGCTATTGCAGCCTTAAAGAGTCCCAGTTTTGGGCCATGGGTTTGGTATGGTTCTGGATTTGCTCTTCCAAATTGCGTTGCCTTCCACAGTACCTGCCCCTTCGACCTCAAGCCCTACCTTTTAACCATGCCAGAGGAATTTAGAATTTACGACGACTTGATGCTGGGCTGTGGAGTTAGGGAATCTTTTGGAGAAGAAAACATCTTAGATGTGTTGCCAGCCATCTACGAAGCTCGTTTGATGAAGAAGGACAGGGTGGACGTGAAACGTGATCTGTATCTAGTTACGGAGATTTTACATTACGCTACGAATACTGGAAAACCGTTGCCTGACGATCTAAAGAAGAAAGTGTTTGTTCCCATAAAGACAGCTGGTGACACGCTATGCCTTAAACCTTTACACGAGGTTAGCTACTGCGACACAAACATCCAAGATGACGAAGACCTTAGTTTTTTGAATGTTGCTCATGAAAGTATTGCAACCCGAACCTTGCAGCTTCTTGGAGTTCAACCTTTAAACAGAAGCTTGAACTTTGTTGAAACCCTAGGATTCGAGCAATCGGGCCCGCATGAGCCAGTCACAACAAGGCTCCAAAACATCTTAAAGGAATACCAGGATGGGTTTTGTCTCTTCAAGGAGCTGATACAGAACGCAGATGACGCTGGTGCAACTGAAGTTAAATTTTTAATCGACTGGCGAAGAAATCCTTGTGGGAGGTTGCTGTCACCAGAAATGGCCGATGCACAGGGTCCTGCCTTGTGGGAATACAACAACGCATTGTTCACTGATACCGACTTTGAGAACATCAACAAACTTGCAGGCGCCACTAAAATGGACTCGTTCAATAAGATAGGTCGCTTTGGTCTTGGGTTTTGCACTACCTACAACATAACTGATATTCCCAGTTTTGTGAGTCGGGAATTTCTTGTTGTTTTTGATCCTCAAACAAACCACCTTGGTCCTCTCATAAAAGACAAGACTAGGCCAGGAATTCGGTTGAACTTGAAGAAAAATCCCAAAGCTTTGGTTGCATTTTCAGACCAGTTTTTACCTTATCAGAACGTGTTTGAATGCCAGATGAAAGAGCTGGAAGATGGATTTTATTACGATGGCACGCTTTTTAGGTTTCCTCTTCGAACAAAAGAGCAAGCTGAAACCAGTGAAATATCTGACAAGCATTACGATGAAGAAGCATTTAAAGAACTAGTCTGCTCGTTTCGAGAAAATGCGTCAAATCTTTTGCTCTTCGTGAATAATGTGAAGAAAATCACATTCTATGAAATGGAAGCGTCCTCCGAAGAATCCAAGATGAATCTTCTCTTTGAGCTGAAGAAAGACATCGTTAAAACTGTCTCGAAAAATCAGTCTTCTCGCTCGAAAAGCGATTCTTATCTTACTCTAGAACACTCCAAGGATTCAACGTATACTCTTCAAGAATCTGACATTATTTCTCTTGAATCCAAAACGTATCCTTGCAAATGGTTTCAAAACAACGCATTACAGACAAACTACCAAGTTTGGCTGGCTTCATTTTCGGGGGGTCGTGACTTGTCCATTGATCTTTCTGCGACTGAGGAAGGAAAGCTTAAAGGCCTTGTTTCCCGAGCCGGAGTTGCTGCTCTTCTTTCCTCTTCTGAAGAAAAATCCAGCGCTCTGAAACCAAAAGCGATCACTGGAGAGGCGTTCTTCTCGTTACCTCTGTCCATAGAAACGGGACTGCCAGTCCATGTAAACGGTTGTTTCGCTGTCACCACAAACCGAAGAGGGCTCTGGGAAGACACGTTAGCAGAGCACGGAACAGTGAAACCATTCGAAATTCTCTGGAATCAAACGCTACTCGAAGACGCTGCTTCTATAGCGTACGTACAGCTTCTAGAAGACCTAGTAAAACTGAACAAGGAAGGCAAAGTCGGGGATTTTCACTTTGAAGTGCTCTGGCCAGATCCAGCGCTTTCGCCATCCAAGATATGGAAACGTTTTGTCAGCAGCGTCTACCAAAGAATAAACGAGTCATCAGCTCCTTTGATGCGCAGCTCGTCCAGGTGGGTCTCCGTCGAGGAAGGGGTACATCTCGATGAGAAAGTACGAAGATTGCCTGAATGTTACATAATCATGCAAGACAGCGGATATCAAGTCGTTGACTTACCGCTGTTTGTTCATGAGGCCTATGTCCAAGCTAAACTAAAACCAGAGTTGATTAAACGCACAATCACCCTAGAAAGGTTTCTGAGAGATATCTTCTTTGAAAATATAAGTGACTTCTCCATCGATGTAAGGGAGTCAGTCATATCCTGTGTCTTGGATGAGTACCTCAAAGGTTCTACTAGTTTTGCTAAGTTTCTGATGGATAAGTGCTGTATACCAACATCTCCTGACGGACAAGTCCTTGTTTCACCTAATTCATTGATTGACCCAAAAGGGGCAGCCGCAGAACTTTATTTCCCAAACGAGCATCGTTTTCCTTTTGGAGACGTGATTTCAACGGAAGGAAGACTTGTAGTCCTGAGAAAGCTGGGGATGGTGGAGGATATTCTCTCGTGGCAGGCAATTTGCGAGCGAGCAACTTCCATTGTCAAGATGAAAAACGATAAACAGATGGCTTTACAGCGGATTCGTAGTTTGATAAGCTATCTCAATCTGAATCTCTCAAAGCTTGATGTACCTAGTCAATCTGAAGTAGAACTTCTACGAAGCATCAGCTTTCTCCCAGTACTAGACCAACCAGCCGATTATTGTATAGCTTGGAAAGGAAGCTACAAGCCAAGTAAGCGTGGAATTGCCTTGCTGGCTCCAGTGAATTTGTTTTCCGACGATTTGCTTTACCTTCTTGGAACGAGCAAGGCCATTCTCGATGAGACATCCGAAACAGGATGTGGAAAGCTAACGCCACAATGTCTAAAGCTTCTAGGGATATCTACCAAAAACATTGAGACCGAGGACGTCCTATTTCAGTTGTCATCTGCCGTCCAGGCTACCCGAATGAAGAGAACGAACATTAACTGGCACTGTATCCGAGAAATATGCTTCAGTGTGTACCGTTATCTCCAAGGCAAGCTTCAGACACCAGAAAAGCAAGCTATTTTAGAAATCCTTCAAGAAAAGCCCTGGATTTTTGTAGATTCTAAGTTCGTTGGCTGTAAACAAGTTGCATTTGATTGGAATGGACATGGCGATCCTTTTCTGTATCACCTGCCACATGAACTTGCCATGGAATTCAGAGACCTTTTTGAGGCCAGTGGAGTTAGGAAAACATTTAGTGCAGATGATTATATTGAGGCGCTCTTCTCCTTCCAAGAAAGAAAGCAAGGCCAACTACTAACACAGTCAGAATTCAAGACCACCAAAGCATTCCTTGATGAAATTTCTGAATTAGATGAAGATGCAATTGGAGCTTTTTATAAGCATTTGCCGATGCCTGATTCGGAGCAAGTTCTGAGGCCAGTCGGACAACTGGTAGTGAATGATGCCCCATGGCTGCAACAGAACGACGCCGCACAGACCGTGCACCCGGATATTTCTGCGAAACTTGCTCATTCCCTTGGAGCTCACAGTATCAGAGACGTAACTTTAAACAAGTACTCGCGTTGTATGGGCAAACCTTTTGGTCAAGTTGAACACCTAACGTTTAGGTTGAAAAATATCCTTGCTTCGTACCCTTGTGACACTGGAATTTTAAAAGAAATTCTGCAGAATGCTGATGATGCTCAAGCCACAGAAGTTCAATTTGTGTACGATCCCAGACAACATGGAACAGAGCACGTCTTGAACGAAAACTGGAAGCAGTTACAAGGTCCTGCGCTGTGCGTCTATAATAACCGACCTTTCACGAATGAAGATATAGAAGGAATTCAGAAACTAGAAGAAAAGATTGGTCGATATGGAATTGGTTTTAATGCTGTATACCACTTGACTGACTGCCCAAGTTTCATTTCAAACGGCAACACCCTTTGCATCCTTGACCCCCATGCAAAGTATGCACCAGATGCCACTAGAGATTCCCCAGGAAGACTCCTTGAACCTTTAGACTTTCAGTTCAGAGGTGATTTCATTGATGTGATGAACGGATACCTGGAAGATTTGTTCGACCTCGAAGGTGGCACTATGTTTCGCTTCCCGCTGAGAACTAAAGCCATGGCTGAAAGTTCAGAGATTTCGAGATCAAGCTTCGACGACTTGGATATTGAACGCCTCCTGAACGCGTTCGAAGCCGAAGCAAAAGATGCTTTGTTGTTTCTGAACAGTGTGCGAAAAATTACAATATCTTTGGTGATTGATGATCGTCTCACCACAAAATGTCAAGTTACAGCTTCTATATCAGAGGAAAGTAACAACAAACTCCAAGAGATGAGCTCTCAAGTAAGGTTATGCAAGAGCCTATCGACAAAGGACATCCCTTGGTATGGCGTTACGTATTTGATGAAAATCTCAGACTCTCGGAAAAATGCTGAGGAATGGCTTATCCATCAGTGTATTGGTGCAGAGCAATATATCGAAGAAGATGAAATACCAGATGGAAAACGCCTCGGGTTACTCCCCTGTGGAGGGCTTGCAGCTAGTGTTGGAGTTAAGGATGCACAATCCAAGGTCCAAGAAACTAGACAACAAAAATCAAAACACAGTAAAACATACCATGTGTTTAGTTCCTTGCCTCTGCCAGCTGAAACTGGTCTTCCTGTACACGTGAACGGGCATTTTGTCCTGGACCATTCTCGCCGAAATCTTTTGTCGGATCAAGAAGGGATTGGTGCTCGGAGTGAGTGGAATGAATTCTTGAAGAATGAAATTCTCGCTCCAGCATATGGAAAGCTTTTACTGCATCTGCGTGAACGCATCAGTGGAATTCGTGAAGGGAGCCCTTGGTTTTTTATCAGTAAAAGGGATGTCCATTTTGGTCTCAAATGGTATCAAAGTCTCTTCCCAGATCCTGACCTTGTCCATACGGAATGGAAAGCTTTTGCTCAAGCTGTGTTCAAAAACCTTGCCTCAAAACCTGTCTTACCGGTTCTCAAGGGCCAGGATGAGCTGACCAATTCATCATCGCCTCCTTTGACAACGGGCCAGTCCACCGAGTTCTCTCTTGGTGCTGTCCCTACTCCATGCCTCTGGATGTCACCTGCTTCATACGATGAAGACGAGCAAGCATACTTCAGTGACTTAGACGAAACCATTGAAAAACTGTTACTTAGCATCGGATTTCCTTTGGTGTTTTCAGCTTCCAGCACCTTCAAACATTTCAAAGATGCTAGCGTATCGGTGAAGAAGGTTTCTCCTGATGTTGTTATTAAGTTTCTTCGAAGTCCAAAGTGTAAGATGGGAGCGATTCCTTGTGCCATTAAAGATTCCAAATTGAAAGACATCTCAAACTTGGCGCTGTTAATCAAGTACTGCATGAGTTGCGTAAGATTCGTGACAGGTCTGCATGGTCTTCCTCTATTGCTCACTGAAGACGAAGTACTTCGGCGTTTCGACATTGACCACCCGATATTCTTTACACCATTCTTAGACTTGGTACCAAAACAGAAAGAACTTTTTCTCCATAGAGAATTTGTAATGGCACTTTCGAATCATATGAGAGATCCCATAAAGAAAACTGGTATCTTTAAGCGTTTTGATACCATCAGTTTGGAGCCGTACCTAGTCCATTTGTTGCCGTCCAGTTGGTTTGGAATCGACAAACCAATTCAATGGGATCCATCAACCGAATCTATTCCCACACGAGAATGGCTAACTCTATTATGGAAGTTGATCCACAAAACCTTTCAAGACAGGAAAGTCAGCTACCATAAAAGGGATGAATGTGCCAAGATCTTACGACCAATTGAAGACTGGCCAATCCTGCCAACAAGTACGGAAACTTTGGTATCGATTGCGTTCGGTAAAACCGTACTAGACCTGACTACTCATGGTCCCGAGAATGAGAAGCTGGTGACAATACTCAGAAAGCTTGGATGTGCAGAACTTGACTTCTCAATACTTCCAGGATTAGAAACACTAGATCTTTCGCAGCTTGTCAGCACCTACCTCGCAAAACCTAACTCAAGACTAGATCTTGTGTCTGTGCTAGAACACTTGATGAAAGAAAAAGATATTTCTGAAGTGCTTGAAGACAATGAAATTCTTGTGTTGTTCAACTTTCTCCAAGAGGATGTGACAACAGTATACAGTCACAAGAATACTCTGAGATCCTTACCGTTTTTCAAGACTCTCAACGGAAAAAACGTCAGCCTTGGAAACTACGTATCAGCATACATACTCGAACTGCCCAAGTGCGTACTGCTAGAAAACATAGAGGCAAGAGTCGAAATGGAAGGATGTGTCTTACTGCAAGAAATACCAGAACTCGATACTTTCTACAAAGCACTTGACATCTACCGAATATCAAAGTGTGAAGTGTTCGTCAAATACATCTTACCAAATTTAGACGCTATGACAGCTGAAGGGCGTGAATCAGTACTGACGTATATCAGACAATCATTATTGCCTCCACTGACAGACCCAAACGAAAGAAGCATCATTATTGATACGCTAATAGATATCAACATTCTTCCTGACAAATCTGGAGAACTGGCACCTGCCCGCCATTTCTATGACCCAGGGAATGCAGTTTTTAAATCAATGCTACCACTTGAAAGTTTTCCACAGGGGGAATTCGTCAATGAAAAATGGCTACCGCTCTTAAGAGAAATTGGCCTGAAGCAGACGGTCACACAGCAAGACTTTATAGAGTTTGCAGAGTCCATAGCAAGTGAGGCCGAATTAACTCCAAGTGATCCTGTATTGAAAGACAAATCCAAAGCTTTGGTCACTTACTTACTTGAAGAGGAGAGCCTTCACGAAGCCAGTTTCTTGCACGTTATATCCCAGATTAAATTCATTGCAGCTGAAGCTGCGAGCGAGAACTTGAGAAATCTCTACGTGCAGTTTGAAAGCAAGAACAAAGATGATACTTCTCTTTACACGGCGTTTCACGGAGCAGTATCCCACGAATGTCAAGCATTTCTGTGGAGTAGTGTTCCTCTGTTACCTCCATGGGCTTTACCCAAAGGCGGGGAAAACCAGCGGACTTTGGTCGAAAACTTGGGAATTGAGATTGCACCTCCAGTTGATAAAGTCATCAAACACCTGGAGAACCTATCGTTGAAGTACGCGGGGAACGTCAATAAGGACACTCCCAAAGATCAACGTGAGCTTCTTCATGATGTGATTTACAACATTCTGGGGTTCTTCAAGACCGAGACCGCTTGCCCACCAGGAAATCCTTCAGAAAGATGCACAAAGTCTTGTCAAACGTTTGGCAACATCTTGAGAAAGACGCCTTGTATTCCCGTAGAAGAAGGAAGGGTCTTTGTGCAAGGAAAACAGCTTGCTTTCGAAATAAGTGAAGAACTTCCACCATTTCTTTACAAAGTTCCTCGAGAGTATGGACACTTAGAACACGTCTTGAAGCGACTAGGAGCCCAGGAAAAGACATCTCCTGTTCAATATGCCAACGTGTTAGCTAGACTAAAGGAAGTTTGCGAGGACAAGCATATGGAGCCAAACGAAAAGAGAGTTGCAAGACTGGCATCCCAAGGATTCTTCAGTACAGTTTCAGTTTTACTCAAAGAAGCAAATGAATCATCAGTCACTGCTTTACTCACAAAAATCAACGAACTTTACCTGCCAAGCAAAGGAGGATTCCTGAAACTTTCTTACGAACTTATTGTTTATGATAACCCAAGCTTTGAACGTCGAGCAAGTGAATTTGCAGCATCGTTCGTCGACATTGCTCGTGAAGGAGAACTTACAGCTGACCGACTTGCCCACCTTTTTAAGATTTTGCCTCCGCGTCTCAGGGCAAGAAACATACAAAGTATTATTCATGAGGAGTTTCATCCGTGTTCTAGAGACAAGCACTGTATTGCTGATACAGAAAATGACCAATGTCCGTTCATTGCCCGCTACCGAGACATTCTACTGTCACCCAAATTTTTCAATGGGATTATTAGAGTCATTAAGCATCAACGACAAACAGCGAATATTCCACAGGAGGTGAGAGATCAGGTGCATGTGCTTTCTATGTTGAAGATCTCGTGCATGGGGTCCGTTGATACGCACCTGGTTCATCTTGAGACTAAAAATCCCATCAAGAACAGCAAAGAGTCTCAAGATTGCTTCTTAGAAGAGAAGGACAAGGAGTGGCAGCTTTACATCAAACACGGGACCGACGAAAACCCTCTTCACATCCAGCTCTGCTTCCTGATAAACAGGCTGATTGGAAACTACATCGAGAAAGAGATTTACCTCCAAGCCATGCTATCCTGCAGGGTGCCAGAAGATATCCTCCCATCGTTGGATCGCTGCGGTGTGGCTCAGGATCTGTTATCAAGTGAGCTTCGAACCACTGATCCATCCTTAGGCTCAGAAATCCCAGTCATGTACCATTATTTACTGAGACAAGACCTTGGTTATTTCTTTCGCCAAGGGGAAATTGTTGGCTACGAAAAGGAAAGGACTCAGTCTGACGAAGACGGAGATGACAGAGACCCCATGTACGTGTACGCTAAAGTTGTCAAGAAAGTAACGTCCAGTACAAGCAGCGATTCTGCTGAATCCAACAAGATCGACTTGCAGGCGCGATACCGTATTGATGTTGGGGAACCAAAGCTTGTTGAAGTAAGCGTCTTGGATTTGTACAAGTTTGATCGCTCAGCACCGGATTTCCCCACCATTGCTCAAGAGCTTTCAGATCTAACAGACATCACACCATTTACTGGTGATCCTGATTCTATTGATAACAGGGCTGCTACGAGAAATACTCGAATGGAAAATGCAATGAAAGAAATTAAGGAAGTGCTGTGGGAAGCTTGGAAACTGGACGAGAAAGCTAGGAAGAAAGTCACTAAACGTTTATTCCTCCGATGGCATCCAGACAAAAATCCAGGCTGTGATATTGCAAATGAAGTGATGAAATTTTTACTTGGGGAGATAGAATCGTTGGAGCGACTGTTTCCGACGAACTGGCGGGAAAACGCCCGAGAAGAAAAAGAAAAGACACCAGAACCGGCATCAAATTTCAGTGATCTTTTCGAGAAATGGAATCAACGAGCTCACCAGGAGTGGGAGACATACAACACCTTCAAGAGACAAAAACCGGGTGCTTCCCAGCCAGGCACAGCTAATCCACAGCGGAAGGAAGCAAGACGGTGGATGAAGCAAGCCAAGGACGACCTCAGTGCTGCTAAATGTCTTCATGATCAAGAAACCCCATTCTATAGCTTTGTGTGCTTCCTTTGCCAACAGTCTGCTGAAAAAGCATTCAAAGGTGCACTGTATTCAGCCTGTGGCATAGCTGAAAACCAACTTGAAACCCATGATGTCTTAAATCTTGCCTACGAGATCACGGAAATTGATGGCTCACCATCTGACATTGCACAACTTGCTTCAAAACTGAAGAACTATTACGAGAAAACTCGTTATCCTCACTATCACCATGGCGGCCTCATCCCATCAGATGCATTCACACGTGAGAATGCAGAAGAAGCATTGGAAGTTGCAGCTGCAGTTCTTGAGAAGATTGAAGAGTTTATCACTGCCAACATTGGAGAAGAACAGTAGTAGGTTATAACAAGATATAGAAATAATTCTACGAAGCTCAGGTTGAAAGCTGACGTTTGGTGTGCCAAATCTACACAAGTCAAAGGCCACCTTATAGCTTTCATAATAGAGTGCACGCACTAAAACCGTGAACATTAAATAGTACTAATTAGTACTATTTCATACAGAATCCTTTGTTTTCTATTGTTTAATTATCACTATTTAGTGCTACAAATTAGTATTTGTTTCACGGATTTAGTGTGAGCACTCTACTAGTAACTGTCTGTGGATGCATTAAGTGCATAAGACGACCTTTCCAAGTAACTAATGTGAGAAGTTGAGGAATGAAAGGCACAAATATTCGTGGCCAATAGGTTTTTACTAGAAAACCAAAATTATTATAGTATAGATGAATATGTACATTTGCTCGCCAAGATAAAGAATGGCTTACACAATCATAATTATTTAACAATGTTTCCTAGCCAGTACAAGCACATTATTTCAAAAATACACAAGGCCAGAACCACAGAGATAAAAATCATGAGGCTCACTCTTCCTCTCACACTAGTGTTAAAGTGAGAGCCATGCAGCCTTTAGAACTTTACAGCCCGTTTTAGCCGTCAGCCCCCCCCATATTCAAAATGACAGATGCTTCAAAGCTGACGTACTTGTCTGAGAGTCAAATCACAAGCTGGGCCTGGTTGTACAGAATGGATAGCTATATCCAAAGGATAAATCCTTATCCAGTGAAACAGCTTTGCTGATCTAAATCAGGGAAACGACAATTTTTCCTGAAACAGTATTAATTGATAGTGCTTTTCCAAGTTTCTGTCAGCCAGCATTTTTAGGACTTTTATAAATTTTATCTCAAATAATAATGGAATTTAGGAATAAATGAATTTGTAAATATATGTAACATTTTTACTAAAAATATTTTGACATCAATTAAAAATAAAAAGGCTATAATCTAGCATCACTAAAATAACATCATTTATTCCTAAAACATCTTAGTTGCTACAGATTTAGGCCTGTTCCATATGCTGCTCTACTCATGTGCCTAATTGATGAATTAAATACATGTACAGCAAGAGTGGCATAAGAATCAACTGCCCCTGCAGTGTCATACTGTAAAATGTGGCAAGCCTTGTCTAACTTAATGTGTTTGCCATACCAAATTAAAGCCTGCAGACCAAACTGATTTATACACTGCTCTTTTGCTGTGCTTCATTAATTCATCACTTTGGGCAAAAAAGGCCTAATTTAATTCAGCATATTAACTTCACCATATGAATCAGCAGTTGCTCCAAAATGAATCTAAGTCAAACCTAATATTGTATTAGGTTCAGCATATGAGTACAATGAGTACGTTTTTAGAGTCGGGGAAGGAACGAGCCAACACTAAAAACGTCTGTGCGGCAGGCTAAGTGCATACCCATATACATAGTGTATAACACATATCATAGAGCATACCCCTTCCTTCATCAGAAAACTCACTGTAGTGTGCCTGTTGTAGCTGATCAAAGTTTTTAAACATGAAATAAATACATACTATAGAACTATTTACAAAATTTATCAGATTTCATTTTTTGTCTTCTGTCAAGCATTTCTTCATGTAGGCGGCCATCGAGCTTGGCTTTGGCCAAGTGTCTTGTATCCTCTTTGTTAATTTTGATCTTCTTGTCTTGGAAACTTTGAAATTTTTTCACATAACTGAGTTCACAGTTGGCAACATTGTCCTCATCATCATCATCATCAACAGGGTTGTCAGACTTTGGTTTGCTGAAGAACATGAATGATAATGCATTATTAGGGATTTTACATTGTATTTTTATTGTGTAGTTCCAGAAAATATCCATACCTTCCCCAGTAGTATAGGGAATGGGGGTTCCAGCGCAATCTCAACACGGG